ACTGGTACGTCTATATTGTATTTGGTATAAAATCCCTCTAGGAAAGATGGTTAGGAAACTACCCGCCACTGTTGGGAAAAGGCATAAAATGAAACAAACAAACAATTTGCTGGAACTAGTATAGAGCCACTGCTAGCCTGCACATTTGTGCAGTCTCACCAGGTTTTATAGATCTACTGTTGGTACCTCTATATTTGTATTTTGGTAATGAAATCCTTCAAGCTGTGAAAGGTCTGTCTCAAATTCAAAGCTGGGGAAATCTATTACATAAATTTAGCAGGCTAAGCTGTTAAGGAATAGCAGACTTGGGATTAGCAGTTTAAGGCCAGATTTCAGTGTAAACATACATGAATTAAAAGCAGCCAGCACTGTATACAGCATGGTCTCTTACAAACTGATTGTTATGCATACTAGCCTTGCCCCTATTTTTGATGGCATATCTCTGTTATAATGGCAATTAAAGAATCCTCAAAGAGTATGGTTGCTGGCTTCAGTGCACTTTAAAGTCTGTGCTGCTATAATGGATTCAAATCCTATAAGGGACGTTAAATTATTTTATGTTGTTATCTTAGTGCAGTAACAGGTTAAGTCCTAAATTTAATGGGATTTAATCTAGTTATTGCACAAAGGTGACAATAATTTATTGTGAGAAAATTATTATGCTCTTGTATGATAATAATGATTTTGCTTCAGTTAAGTATTAAAGTAGCCATAATTATGTTCTTAATAGAGTCAATATATTAGTAAGTGCAACAGCAAAAAAATGGCATTAATTGTTTGTCAAGAGCTGGAATTGTTTGTTTGTTTGTTTCATTTTTACGCCTTTTCCCCCAACAGTATTTCAGCCATATAGGGAAGTAGTTTCCTAACCATCGTTCCTGGAAAGTAACACCAGTACTAGACTTCGTTCCTCAGCGCTAAACTACCGAAGCATCTCCCAGGGATCAAACCCACGCCAGAGAGGTAACTGGATAAGAAGTCTTCGATTGTAACCCCTCGACCACGGAGGCGGTATGGAGCTGGAATTAAACCAGCAGATACACTGTATCAGTTCTGCACCTGTATGCTAGTTGCTCTATAAAGTTTTTGTTTATATATATATCAAATTATGATCAATAATCTTTAAAAAACATTCTTTATGTATATTTTCCTAAACCCAGATGTATGTCTAAATATAGAAGAAAAACTCTTAAAGGCGTTGTTCGTTAATTTGCATTTATTTTTGCTTTAAATTTTCAAATAAATTGAATATTTCTTGTACTGACAAACAGATTTTGTTGAACGAATATTTTTAGATGACTGGTATGATATGGTTAATTGCCTAATAAACCATATTTTCCTTTAATATCTAGGGGCGTATATATCTTAAATTGATTCATGCGGTGATATTTTCTTGCCATAAAATGCTTTGCAAACAGTTATGAATGAATATATATAGAAAGAAAGGTAGATACAAGTGGCTAGATCTATCAATATTGTTATCATGCGGGGATTTGTTTTTGTTGACACTTAGGAACAGTGGGCCGTCCAAATGGTTTAAGACATTTTATAAGAGAAAAAATTGAAGTGTGAAAGGATAATACCTGAAAAATTTCAAAAGAATATCAAAAAAGAAAAAAATCCTTGGGTTTTTTGTATAACAATGTCACAATGTTTAAATATGAAAACAGTTTTTAAGAGTTTTTAAGACCGGACGCATATTGTCTAATATTGAACATGGATATACTGTACATAGGGAATTACAATTTATGTGCATTATGATGGATTTAGGTCGTGCTTCTTTTAGTTTAATACTTACTTAAAATTTAAATAAAAGGATGAGAAGGCTGTCTTTAAAGTTTCTTACAAAGGAAATGTACGATCTGTTTAAGGTAACTAAATCATCTCTATTTTTGTTACTTTGATTTTATTTTCGTAAGCAATATTTTCGGATTAAAGTAACGATATTTGTAATTGATCATAAAGTGTAAAAAAATGTAACCGTAAGCTTGTATCATTTGTAAATGAAAAATTGTGGCATTTTATTATCTTGAGATGTAATATTATTATGTATTGTACATGGTATTTCTGTACAAGTTTACATGTACTTTTAATAATGACAGTGTTTCAAATACCGAAATAGGCACTTTGCTAAGTTGCCATTGTTCAAAATGATGGTTTTCAATAACCAAAAATACATTTCAAAGAATTATACTTGTAATATTTATGTCAGTGTTTCAAATACCAAAATAGATACATTATATTACAGCTAGTTGTCGCCGTTCAAAATGATTGTTTTAAATTACTAAAAATACATTTCCAAGAATTGTTAATTCTTAATGTTTTGATTATATGTGTGCTATTATAATAAACCAGTTATAATTATGTAATTTGTCAACAAAAATCAGTTCTTAAGTTCTATTACACCAAGTTTTGTTTGATGAATTTTGGCCTGCTGTTCCATGTTGCCATATTCCAGAAACATAGTTGTGACCCAAATAAATACCCATTGGTTGAGAGGCAGAATTTTTAACTTCTAAACATTGAAAGTTTTTTCTTTAATTATAAAGTAATGACATTTTTCTTTAATTATGAATTAATGACCATAATATAAGAATGATTTTACTTGATTCAACATTTGGCATTACTTCTTATAGTTAATGGGTTTCGTAGCTTGAAAAAAAAGTCAATTAAAAGGCAGTAAAATTTCAAAGGCTCATTTGGACTTTACTCATAATTGATAAAGGGGATATTTGAACTATAGTCTGGTTTTCTCATTATAATCACTTTAAAGATGTTTTATCTGTGACTTTATTGAACTCCACTTTGTGTACTGAGGTATTTGAAGGTTATACATTTTTATTTGCATTGGTTGCAGGGAGAAATTGTTGAAATTGCTGCATGTCATTTTGAAGAATTAATAAGGTCTTTGCATGTCACATGAAATAAATGCTTCCAGTGAAGGGCAAAAGCTGTTTTAATTTTTGATAGTGGCATGCAAATTCTATTTAATTATGCTTTTTTTCTTCTTTTTTTCTTTTTTGAGAAAACAAAAGAGACCTGTTCATGCCATGGAAGGAAGGAGCTAAATTATTTGACAATGTTATTGACAATGAAACCACAAGAAATGTTCATATCTTAAATGATATTTATAATTATCATGTAACATTTTGTGATATATAACTTTGTGGTAATATAACTATTCTCCTTACCACATGTCCTGGCGAGGTCATTACAAATAAATGGAAATTTAATTTTTCAACATTCAAGATAACAATCTGCTAATGATTTATATAAATTATGTGGTTTTTCGATTCATTGTTGAAATGTTTAACATACATTATTTTAATTTTATGCAGGAAAGTAATGTATAGCTTCATTTTAAGGACCACATTAAGAAATAATTATATGTGTGTAACATTTCTTAGACTTTGTAATATAAAAAATGGTTCAAGTGCCCATTGTAAGCTTGATTCCCTGGTGCTAACTTTTGTAATAATTATTCATTGTCTCTGTGCTGGGATTGGGTCATGGTTGGTGTTTAAACACTTGTCTATTACATGGCTACCTCAACATAAGGAATGATGTACAAATTATTAAACTATGTATGTAAAATGCTTGTAATGCACAAATTACAAGAGTATTTAAATTTACACTATTTTACCATAATATCTATAAAAAGTTGTGCATCAAACAATGTCTTTGTTATAATCTATAAAGTTGACTCTCAGGTGATGCCTTTATAATTGAGCAGCATCACGACAAAGCCAACATAATGCGTTTGCGACCAGCATGGATCCAGACCAGCCTGCGCATCCACGCTGTCTGATCAGGATCCATGTTGTTCGCTTACAAACTCTATAACAAGTAGAGAAACTGACAGCGTACAGCATGGATCCTGATCAGACTGCGCAGATGCGCAGGCTGGTCTGGATCCATGCTGGTCGCAAACCCATTATGTTGGTTTTGTCACGACGCGGCTCAATTGTTTTTTTCTCACAATTTTTATAAAGTTTAGTCATTGCAGTTGTCTTCATTATTTTTGTTTCCACCCACATTTTTTGTTTTGGTTGGTTTTTGCTTAACATAAGGAAAGGTGACATCTATATGTCATTAAATTCCTAATAAAGAATAAAACATGGCAATTAACATGGATCATGTCATATTTATGAAACAAAAAAACATATTATAGATATTTTTGGTCATATTTAATGGCTGACATGATTTAATACATCAACATACATTATAAAAGTAGATTTGTCCAAATATTGAGACGGCCATCTGAACAAGTTTCTATCTTCTTATATAATGTAGAAGAGAAAAACATGTTATTTCTGATGTGTCAAAACTTCCGCTAAATTTCAATGCAAGCAGAAACTTGGAAAAGTAACTCAAAATGTTATTGAAAATGATAAATGACAGTCAATGTATTTATGTTTAAACTTGTGTGAGAAATGCTAAAACTTTATTTAATTCAAAATTATTAAAGTTTGACTTATGCAGTTACTGTCATATTTGGAGAAGTTGGGAAATAGTGTTGCTTTGCCATATAAAGTATGTTACCCCCACGCCTGCCCTGCCCGAAATCATACCAACTGGTTTGTAGAATTAGATTTATAAGCTAAGCATAGAACCAAAAAAGGCCAGACCCAGATAGAGATTTTGAAGAACACCCAAATCATACTATTTGATTTGTAGAAATAGATACAGTGGAACCTGTCTAATCTGAACTTGTCCGGATCAGAAGAAAAATTTGGATTAGAAAGGTTTCTGGATTAGAAGGGTTAAGACATTTTTTTACTATTAAAAAAAAAGAACGAATAAAATTGGGACTGGACACTTTGTCTGGAATAGGAAGGTTTGATCTGGATCCTATCCGGATTAGATAGGTTCGGATTAGCAAGGCATGGAAATAGAGATGTAATAGCTTAAATCTTGTCTTCTTTAAATCTAATTTTGTGTATAAATCCTGCTCAGAGTAACTGACATTTAGTTATGAATTATGTGTTGTATATTTTCAGAGGGACCAAGAGAGAAAAAGTTTACCAGGATCCGGATCTCCGGATGTTGTAGGGAAACCATCTGTCAGTAATAGTACAGAGAAATGGACAAAGGGTCAGCCAGGGTCACTGAGAAGGAAGTCAAGGTGTAATCCTCTAAGCCTTTCCCATGAGGTATATATTTGTATATATTATATAGGGTTGGGTGTTATAGTTATATTTAAAGTTTAGAATCAGGCTCAGCTGCTGTGGGTAATGTCCTAGCTCACTCAGGGTAGAGAGCATTGGACTGTAAATAGTGCGGGTGCAGGTTACTCAATGTGATTGATCATGAAAGTCTTTCTACGGTCATTTTACACATACATCTGACATGTCAAAGAACCTGCTCTTATTTCAGGAATTGAAAAATACCTGTTACTATCAGTAATACTAACCTAAAGATATAAATTAACAGAATGAATTGCCTGTGTGGGTGTCTGGTGGTGACTGTTGTGTGTTATTTAATGTATTACTACAAAGTTGTAAGCAATTCTAAGATAATGTGGCCAATATGGGATGGAAACATCATAATAAGTGAAGATTGTACTTAACCAGGCGTGGGTATGTGAAACCAGATACACTTGAACAATAATGGATAGCTTTAAATCAGTCATCTTTTCGAAGAAATAAAACTGTACTGACATGGCTCCTGAATAGATGTCACAAATTCGGAATTTGGAGAAAAAAATGCCAATTTTAGATATTGAAACTATGTTGTCATGTTTTAATATTGTGGCTTCTGCCGGTTACAATTTTGGTTATAAATTTGTTCTTCACCATTAAAGCTGGCAAGATTCCTGTGCTCTTTTGCAATGAAAGTTACGAAAAAGATTTTCCTGTTTCAAATTAACTAAAATCGGGCTGTCATTATTAGGTGAAAATAAAGTTTTTTTTTTTTTTTTTGGTAATATTGGTATTAAGACTGCAAGAATATGTATTAGAAAAACATTTACACATTACTGCAGAAAGATTGACTTTATTTAATGATTTAAATATTTGTAAATGATTTAATAGTGCACTATATTAAAATTTGTTAAAATTTGACAATTTTGTTGAAATAAGACAAACAAGATATTGTCATCGCACGAGACAAAATGCCTGTAAGGTATAATCACTGTCAATATTGAAGAAGACTAATTCTAGGTTGTAAATATGCCATCAATCAGTGAAAGTCTTTATCTAGTCTCATCTTTAGTTTCAATAGTGTTGTTCACCCCACCCACCATGATTATAATCAGCAAGGGAGACAATCAAGGTAGATCAGGTCTAGACTAGGATAGTGAGAGAGTGATATCCCCTCCTTATCTAATGTTCTCATCTCTCACTAATGATAACAGGTCATTAATTAATTGTCATTAGTGTTGATAATGGTTTCTTATCTTTTCTCAAGTTTTTTTATCCTTTTTAAGTTAAAAAAACAAAAATAAATATGTGATCCTTGTCAGTAATTACTTTTCTCATCTTCTGATTCATTTTTTCTTTCATCTTTAGTTACTTTTCTTTTCATCATTAGCAAAAATCTTGGTTGGAACTGTATGGATAATCTTTCAAAATTTTATTGAATTTATTCACTTTTATTCAATTATTTTAAGAGAGGCAGTAACAATATTGATGCACTTACATTTTTGAGGATTTCTTTGCAATAAACTTTAATGAAACAAAGCTATTTTGAATGGACATGTCTATCTTTCAATCTTGTCTTTCCAAACTGATTCATTTTTTAGGAAAAATTTCAAACTATTGACTGGATAGCGAACATTGCATACCATTATGGTCTCTCATGTTGCATGGATGGCAGCAGAGCTAAGGATTATTAAGAATATCATTTATTTTATAAAAAAAAAAAAGTAACAATATGTAGATCTGGAAAAAAAACTCTGTTAATTTCATGTTTATTTGATTTATTGGTGAATTACATCGATATATATATATTACTAGATATGGTGTCTGCCTCTCAACCTAGGGATCATGGGTTTGAGCTCTACTGGGGACATGGCATGATGATTCCACATATGTTACCTGTTTGGTTATTTATTGAAATACTTCCTTTCATTACAACAAAGCTCAAATGAATATGTTTTAACTTAAACATTCTTAAATCTGACTGAAATACATGTATTCAAGCCCCAAACTAAGAGTTACCATTTAATCTTTGTATGATGTAAACCCCAACATTAATATATTTTCTTTCCTCTTCAAATAAACTGTACTGTTAATTTTCATGGAGTTATCATTGTCCTTGAATGTATAATTTAAATTAATGTAAATAAAAGGACTTGCCAAGTTAATTTGAACATTTTTTTTTACTTTTAGATTTTGGTTTTTATCAGAGAGAATCTTTCCCTCCTATTTTCAGTACTGTACCAGAAAAGTCTAGTTCAGCACTGCCCTCTCTCAAAAAATAACAATAAATCAAAAAGATTTTCACCTGATGTTGGGGCCAATTAACCTTGGAAATCAGACTGTCTCATCAGTGGATGATTAAAGATAATTAATCACTTGTTTATATTGATAATATTGACTAACATTTTCTTTTTTATCTTGATCAATAATTTTCTGATAAATTATTACCGTATTTAATCAGATTGATGACCCTGTGGTATAGAATCTTTTTAAATTATTGATTTAACTTTTCTAACATGTTGGTGTGATCTGAGATTTGATAAAGAAAATAAAGGCTGGACCTAATGATGCATATAATGTCTGATTTAACTGATAATTTGTGAAATAAAAAAAATGGGGTACTAGGTATATATACTGACATGCTTCTCTCATTAGAGTCAGTGTGGCTTGTGACTTAATAATCGTGAAAGTAGGAACTAAAAATTGAAATGATTTTTGTTTTGACTGATGTGTGAAAAACTCTAATTAAAGTTTGAAACTGGAATTTTTATTTAAGAAGTGTGCTTTAGATTATATGTGTGAAAACTATTTTTTTGTTTTTGGGTGATCAGTGGCTTTGAATTAATCAGTGACAAATATAAGCTTATATATGTATATTTAAAGTTGCATTGTGGATTAGCTGTATTCAATGTAATATAGTCTTTGAAGATTGGAAATACAATATAATAAAATAATGCATATCCTACTAAGAAAATTAAGTGACCAGGAACTTGCTAGTTTGGTGAAACATGTAAGTATTATATGTACATTATGAAATAAATTATTTTCTTTACAATAATTATTTAGTCTAGTGTTTAGTAGTTCTCGATTTTATTCTGTCAACTACCATGTTTTCCTTGTAATTTATTAAAAACCATAAAAGAAATTTTTTTTTGAAAATCACATTCTCAAGATTGTGGTAATGCCAAGGTCACAAATAAAACAGGCATTTCCTGATTAAACGATTTTTAAAGCATCAGTGGTTTATGTTTTCCTTATTTATTAAAAACCACCAAAAAAAAAAATATTTCACATTCTCAAGATAGTGGTAACAAAGTTCTTCAAGTTTAATTTTAAGGTAAAATGAGTTTTACAGTACTGTACTACAAGATTAGCTTTAGATGATGCAGTATTTAAAATATCAATCTTTTCATAATATATTTAAAACTGGATACAGTGATTTTTTTACCCAATGTTTTTTTACTGTTTTAATTATAATATTATGACTTGTAAATTTACGGACATAAACATTCTTTTGCTTAGGACAGAAACAACTTAACATGGGCCCCTGTAATGATAATGAATTCAATTATATAATGTTATTGTATATAAATGTATTTAGTTCACTGCTTATTCTTGCAACTATTTTTCTATTATTAAAAAAACTGTTAAATTTTCCAACACTTTATGACAATAAGATTGGACAATCAAATTGAATAATTGTGTAAATATTGGCACCAGGAGGGTATTCAAGGCTCATAAAACTTTCATCAATGTCATTGTGTGCAAGCCAATAACAAAATTGTGCCAAAAGATCAGTTTTGATCAATGTGTGGTAAAGTAGCTTGGTATACTAAAGGACTATTGTGAACTGATCAGGGTCATTTGGCACCTTTACATCAATAAAGTGTCAGTCAGTCTTCCATACAAACCTGTTTGTTGTCCCTTTAGGGTGCTACCATCTATTGTTCACCCATTTCTAATTAACTGTGTTGTAAACTGTGATAACATTTCAGTCAGCAGACATTATGACACCCTGGGCTAGTAAAACCTGTTCTGATTGGATAATAGCTTGTATCCAGCATTCTCATTGGCTGTTGGTTATCAATTGTCACTTTTATTGAGTGAATTTTGAGATAATCAGTTAAGAAGTGAAAATATATTTATAAGTAGGGTCCAAAAAATGGAGTGGTCATTAGTATGAAATAGAAAGTTGTGTTGTAAATATAAATTGTGATATAGAATTTGTACAGCTTTTTATGGATTTATTTTGATAAATATTATTATACAAAAATAGTGCTATTTTTGGATACGTTTGGAAAAACAAAATGTTTTTGGACATAAGTTTCATTGGTGCGGCTGGTTACCGTAAGGATGGCTATGCTAAAATATACAACTCACTTAGAAAACATCGACGCAGGTCTATCTGTGTCGAAGACAGTAGCGCACAGCAGTTGATTGATGCACGAGAATGTGCTGAAACTCATTTTAAAAAACAGAGATACAATTTGAACGCTAGTTTACAAGCATTGAAACATGATAGAAAAATTGACTCTGGAAAATATCGAAAATGTTTGAATGTTGAACAGTTTAAGAAAAATATGTGCAGTAATGATCAAAGTTACAATAGAAAACTATTAAGTAAATACTGTTCACATGCGAATGCAGCATCGTGTTTGAATAGAGTAAGTTGACAGTAGTACCGTATATTCTTTAATAAATCCCCCTGAGGGGATTTACTGTACATTTTGGGAAAAAGTGGGGGCTGTAATTAAAGTACAGAAACAATATCAAAATAAAAGAAATCTTTACTGTTTTTGTGTCTGTTAAGCAACTGACTGAATATACTTGGGTTTAATAAAGTAGTGGCATTGGTTTGAGAATATACTGTTTTTATATGAAATCCAAGTCATGGTGTAAAATAATGACTTTGGAAACTTGTCAAACATGCTGTCATGACACCACTTTTTGTCTTAAAAAAAAGGGTTTGGTTTTGTATACCTTTTTAAAAAGGCTTGATTCTTTAGTTGAAGGGTTGAATGTGTAAGGCTGATCTGTTATAATAAACTTGTTGTATAATATTGTTTAAAGGCATTGAAACCCTAAATTACCGTGTTATATAAACAGGCATTAAATGAAACCCTAAATTACTGAAATCAGACCTATCAGATTAAAATTGATTAAAAGAGATCATGAATAGATATTGGTATATAATAGAAAAGCTTTTATCCTTGGATTAAAGCAAACATCTTTTTATGTGATATATCTGTCTGTCAGGTGGGCAAGATATGGCCTTGTTTAATCAAAGATTATCTGAATTATCTATAGATTTGTACAATTGGTAAAAAACCTTCAAATTCAATTACAATTAGAGAAATAAATTTTTGATATACAAGTGTGAAAATTTTATTTTAGTATGTACACAGGCATTTGAAAAGCAAGGAAGACATTTCTATATATTTACAAATGGATGTTAGAATGACACAATGGTAATTATAATCAGTTCCTTAAAAGATTAATTGATCAATTTACAGGTGTATTGTCAGATATAGATGTTTAAAAAAATAATCTGTTTATTTGTAAATTTTCATATACGTTGACGAATAACTAATTTTAGTATCTTTTGAATTTTTCAGTCTCTTGTGGTATTAGATCAAGATCCGATGCAGCAGAAGCTTTCATCAGCGAACAGCGTGAACAGTATTGTAAACCATGTCGCCAAATCCATCGAGCAGGAGGAAGTGGGAAGAGTTGCATCGTGGGCTGTGAGCTTTGACAAACTTCTCAAAGATCCGATCGGAAACACTGTCTTCACTGTAAGATTTTAGTTCATATATTTAGAAAATTTCTAGTTATGTGAAATTCAATATTTAATCTTATAAATTAGTATTTTAATTTTTAATAAATTGCAAGTTTTCAATTCAAAACACTATGGTATACATAAACACATACAAAGGGAGATAATCTAGTGTTTTTTTTATTCTATTGGTACTTATAAGAATATGGAAAGGGAGGTAATCTAGATTTTATTTGTTATTATTTTTCAGGATTTCTTGAAGAAAGAGTTCAGTGAAGAAAATGTTATATTTTGGAAGGCATGTGAAGATTTTAAGAACATCATTGATTCTAATTATGTAAGTACAAAAGTTATGATTTTGTTTTATTTGTACCTTATATTAATTACCTAATTAATTCTTATATTAGTTACCTAATTAATAAAGAGATCTGACTGTAATACAAGTTTATAAAAAATATGATAAATTAATTTGTATGTAGTATATAATTGTAACATAAGGTTTTAATATATTCATTGAGTTTTGTTAAATAGGTTAAAAATAATTAAAAATTTTGGTTTTTCCATTTCAGAGAAAATCAAAGGCAAAGGAACTGTATGACAAGCATGTGTCCGTGCGTGCTTGTGAATGCGTCAATATAGATAGTGTTGCCAGAAAAGCAGTGGAATCTCAACTAGAAAATCCAACACCACAAGCCTTTGATATCCCTCAACAACAGGTAATTGTACATGCATGGTTTTAAGCATTGACCAGTTATTTTGAAACCTTTAGCTAACAGTATAGAGTCAGGCAAGGTTGAACATCAGTGCAGTTTTGACCAGGCTCTGTATTGTAGGCTGATTAAATTTAAATTTTTATCTTGGTATTGTGAAATTGATAATGGACAGTTACAATACTGCTGTAGAGACTTGACACATGCTTATTTTTAACTGCTTTGCTTAATTTTCATGGATCTGAGTTGAGGTTTACTAGGTCATGCATTTGAGAAAATAGGTAACTTGGTTAATGAAGTTGCCTGGGTTTACTCATTGTGAAAGCTCATTTGTTACCTTGTTGAAAATTTACACGCAACAAAAATAAGAGTACTATGAAGCATAATTTGTTTGATACTTTCTGATTGTAAAGATTCGTGATGAGTCATGACTAAATGATTTACATGTATTTAGGCTTCCGTCAATTATTGTATCGTCCATTGTTTGTTCGGAACATGATCAGTTTATAAATAAATCATAAGAGATTAAACTTCATTTGTATAAAATATATTAACCATCTTAACTCGAACTTCTTAAACTTGTAAGAAAATAACTAAATTATGAATTTTATCTTACAGATCTTTCAACTAATGAAGCAGGACAGTTATTCACGTTTCCTGAAATCCAGTAGTTATAAATCGTTTCTGATGGACGAAATGGAGGGAAAACCACTGCTGTTAGCCGAGGAGACGCAAAATGACAAAAATAAACTTCTCGATAAAGACAAGGAGAAGGAAGGGAAGAAGAAAGGAAAGGGCAAGGAAAACGAAGAGAATAAAGACAAACGAAGAAGGTCTTTGTTACCTTGGAGACAAAGTACGTTATTTAATAAAAACAGCATTAGAAATTATTGTTCAACTTTATGTTTTAACAATATTAGAAGTTTGCCAATCTTTGGAAGGATCTCATGTTAGAATTAATATACCATTAAGTTTGTGTTGCTTACCTTATTGTTATGTAAATAGATAAGATATATTTTTATCTCTTTTCATTGAATTATGATATGTGATGTAGTAATTATTTATTATGTTTACTCTATTTTTAGAATCAAAGAAGCAGAGTAAGGCAGAGTCAGAGAGTAAAAACCAGAAGAACAAGGAGAGTAAGGACATTAATGCCAACACGACCCCGGCTGCTCCAAGTGCCCAGTCTGAACCTTCAACTAACAACAAGAAGGAACAGCCTGTACATGTTGAGGTGAGTACTTTGTTGTTGTCATTGTTTTTCAGCAGTAAACCCGGTGTGCGTCTTACACTCTATGAACTTGAAACATAATTTGTGTTTATCCTATAACAGGAATGAAAAACATTTTAAGGAAGTAAAATGAACGCCTGTTAGGCAGCTAGGCATAAACAGTTCCTTCAGTGTGCAACTCTGTATCTTTCTCAAAAGAATTTCAGCGGAACTTTCATTTAAATTTATGTTGTCTTGTGCCCTCCCACATATTTTCAAGATTTAGTAATTTGATTATATTTTACAGAATTTTTACACTGGCGAAAAAACCTAGGTTTTGAAAATTTAGTCACCTGTTTATTTCTTATTTAAAATCACATTTGATTGGATAATACTGTTCAAAATTGTATCAAAATTTTTAATAATAATTTAATTATAATTCAGGTGCCAGAGACTATTGAGGAGGAACCTGATCAGCCTCGGTTCTGCCGAGTGATAATGCCAGATGGATCAACAACCGTTGTAGGTACAAGACAGGGGCAGACAATCAACTATATCCTAGGCAAACTGTGTGAAAAGAGAGGTCTCTCTGTGGCTAGTGTGGATGTGTTTTTATTGGGCTCTGAAAAGGTAAATTCCTTTGATATTTACAGAAATAAAGTTGAATATAATAAGTCTCATATACAACTGTATAACAATATTTATGCATCTTTTAAATATACAATGAGCGTGGACTTGGAAGATAACCCATTAGCCCCAAAATGTATTTTTTAAATATATGTTATATTGCCTGATTTTTTTTTAACTAAACCTGGGGTAGATTTATGATTTATTTGTTGTTGTTTTCTTTTTGTAAATTTTGAATATTACAGAATTTTAATTTTGTTTTGTTATCATTTTTTCAGCCATTAAACCTGAATGATGATATATCTACGCTGGGGTCAAAAGAGGTTACGATAGAAAGACGAGTGCTGTTTAGAATGGACTTACCAAATAAAAAATCTATAGGAGTGAAAGCTAAACCAAATAGACTGATCCGTGATGTGTTCAAACCAATTCTTAATAAATACGGATACAGAATAGACGCCATTGATGTTCATCTTGTAAGTTTCCCAGACTTGCAGTTTTGAATGAGATTAAATCAGACTAAGATTATTTTATCAAAATAGTGCTATATAATAGTATATTTTTTCTTCATATATCTGTTATGGATACTGATCGTATTTAATTTGACTTCTTTTCTATAAGTTAAATGCTTATACTATTTAATTTTTCAAGGATATTAAACATTTTGTCATGTAATTTACATTATATGTTGTTGATTTTTTTCTCAAAGTACTATTAATTAATTATAAATTTTAGGCTTTATATTTGTTATAAAGGATTTATTTTTTAATCAATGTAAAAAAAATAATTCTAAAGTAAAACCTATTCTTGTTTACAGAGTGGACAGTCCGAGAGAAGCCTGTGTTTAGATAACTTAGTATCATCAATAGACAGTCAGCGTGTGATAGTTCTCAACCAAGCTTCTGATCTACCTGGTATGTATTTCAGGACAACAGTTTGAGCCCCTAAACAATAGCCCCCTTTTTAAACTATCACTGGATGAAATGTTTTTCTTGTTTATTTTTTCCTTTCTTAATTTTGTTGGAATTTTTTTTTCTTTTGTTTCTAGATGTTTTGAAAAATATTTTTTTTATTCCATAGAAGTTTATATAAAGAATTGTAGTTTTTTCTTTTATTTTTAATTTTTTTTTCAAACAAATGTATTAAATGGATTAGATTTTTTTCATTATTTGGTACATAATGTGATACTAATAACTAATGTGTATAAATTGTTAATAAACTGCTGTGCAATATGTAAAATATCATCCTCGTACCATGTCATGTGCTCATTTAATAACTTCCATATATCATTATACTTAGCTAGTCTATATCTGTTTTATACAGGTGAATATATATTGATATTTCTTTGTTAAAATGAAAGATATTTGACTTTTGAGGTCCATAACTGTCAGCTAATAGAAAAATCATAATAATTATATTCAACTGTATAAAGGGAGATAACTATGAATATTTAACTTGTCATGGTTTATTCTAGTTATCTTTCCTTACCTTTCTTCTTTTTCTGTGAAAAAAGTTTGTAAAGTTGTACAAAATTGTTGTACATCATGAACAAATTGTTATAGATTTGTCAACTTTGTGAACTCTCTTCACTTCTACAGTCTTTCTGTATTTCTGACATAAACATTATATATAATAATAATCATGTAACCATAGCGACAGTAATGTCATCATGTAACCATAGTGACAGAATTGTATATACATGGTGCTGGTTCTAGTATCATTATACTATAGTCATGTTACGTTCACCATTATATCTGCCAGAATAACATCTATTTTTAGACTTCAATCAATCATCACTTTAAAGGTTTTCTTCCAGACTTCTCAATTTTAATGTTTTTCTTAACCAAAAAATAAAAGAAAGAAAACAAAAAATTGAAAAAAAACAACAAAAAACAATATTTTTTCAAAATTTTAGATATCTGTTTTGATATCGTACATGTGAACTGTGACTTGTAGAAAATAACAGTTCTTTCATAACTTATGTTTCTTTGGTTAATTTATGATTGTTTTGAAGAAAAATAATTTTGGAAATGCTTTGTGAAGTTTTCCTTATCATTTTCCATTGTTTCATTAATTTTGCTCACACAACATAAATAATATCATGCCCTTGTTTTCAACATCTTTCTGTCTCACTGTTTTTATTATCCATTTTCAAATGTGCTTTATGTTTGTTATTTGATATTACAAAATAATAAAAAATATTTCATATGAAAAGATTTCCTTGTTCTGATTTCACACTTGTTACCTATATAGTACTTATATTTTAACATGCAAGTACTGGTTAATATCATTTTCATGGGATTACAATGCAAAACATTGATGGGTCAAAAGATTATTATGCCCACCTCCCAACCCTGCTGTCCACTTGCAACTAATTTCTCAACAGATGGGCAGCAAATAACCTCCTATAAATATATACATACATTGTATATCTATATGAAATGGATTTTACTATCACCAATTGTATAAATAGAATGAATAAAAAAAGCTACAAGAATATGTTAATGCATTGACCTGTTCTTTCCCAGTTCCCAAATGCTCTTCCTAGTTATGATAAGCAAGTATATTTATAGCTTTCGATATTGTAGCAAGTATAATTATGCACTTTTAAGGGATAAGGAATTATAAGGTATTAAAGTGTCCAGGCATTGATCTTCAGGATGTGTGCAATTTTAATCCTGTAAATTTATGAATGCCCAAATTCGCTAAATAGTCAACTCTGCAATGTGGTCAAACTCTAGACCTTTTTTTCTCTGCATTATGAGGAATTATACAGGAAACAACCAGTAGGGGCTGTCTGAACAAGTCTTCAAGGTCACTAAGTTAGGTGCACTATATGTGTAAATAAGTTAACCAAATTTTGTCATATATGACATTGTTTTAGTCTTATGTCATGTAAACTGTATATAATAATTGTATGAATTATACAATTGTATCAAATAATTTTGTATGAAAAAGATTTCCTTGGTCTAATTTCACACGTATTACCTATGTGGTACTTGTATTTTAACATATGAGTACTGGTTAAACAGTTATTTTCTCCACATTGTGAAGAATTACGCAGGAAACAACTAGCAAGGTCTTGTCATACCAAGTCAAAGATCATAAAGTTTAGAATAGGTGTACTGTATGTCAAAAATAGGACCCTAATGTAGAAAATATTCGGTTACAGTGACTTAAACTTTAAAAAAAAAACTGTGTTAAATGTGTCATAGTTAAGATCATATACATGTATTTATAACCGTTCAACATTTCCTGTTAACATTGTTATAGACATCGCATCATATGTTTCATCATGTAGAGTCATACATGTATTAGAAACAGTTGTTTTTTTACTAATATTACTAGTACTCTGTATACATCGACTGGCTTTATCATCATTGTTTAATTCACTGAACTGGGAGGCAAGGATTTTCTGTTTCTGTACTCTTAACTTTCTTGGGGTGTATCCCGTTAATCAGTTAAAGCGGTGTCGATCTTTTTAAGCCAAAAACTGGTTACAAATTTCAATAATTGGTTGATTTTAGACCAACATCACTGGTACATCGTCAATGGAAAACAGTTATTCCATAATAATGTATGTTTTGTAATCGTTGTTGAGTACAACAAAATACAAACAAAATGCGCTTACATATAAAAAGAAAGTTTATGTTAAAAATTTAAGAATTCTTTTAGTATGGTCGGTTAAACATTTTAATATCAGGGTTATAAAGTCACTGTTTAACCACTGTTTAAATGGTTATCTTTCTTTGCTAGCCAAGACACCCCTATAACTTTTAATGACCTGTTTAATATGTTATATAAATGTCCTACTTTGAGGTCTTTCTATTGACCATCAAAGATAATGATTCAAATTGATACAGTACCATTTACTTTTTTCATGTATAACAGAATATGAATCTCTTTGTGGCTATAGGTTTGCCTTAATGCATTGAAGCATTTGAATTGTTTAACCATGCATGATCTCTAGAGGCAACAAAATGGGATCAAATTATTGAAGTCTATACATCTATTAGCTCCAGCATGTGAGGTGGTTTTGACCTGTTTGTAACAACCGAGATTAGCCAAAATCATCTTTCCTGTTTCGGCACCATATGACCTAAACTGTGTTGGTGTGCCGTGAAGCCAAACCAACAGCTAGAACATTAAATAAGGAAATAAGATGCTGGTTTTGTCATAGAGGGGACCCTTATGTTGAAAATATTCAGTCTCTCAGACTCTGATTTTAAATATCCTGCGGTAAAAGTAATAACTTATTGCAAACATGTTATGTTTGTAGATTTGACCCATTTACTTCAACAAAATCTGCACTGTCTATTTGACACTGATGTGCCAAAGTAAGCATATGGATAAATACAGTGTACGAAATGTACAAAAATTGTTTATTGAAAAGTATTACTCAGAAAATCCTTGCTAAGTTCCAGAATAAAACAAACATAATAACTTCTTATATAGTGTGCATGCCTTTTTCTCTTCTAACAGCTAAACCCAACGGACTTCTCGGTCGTTACATTACCTCACGACCTCCGATCCCAAATAAGTTTACTAGCAAAAAAATTGGTAACCAAGGTTACACTAACACACTAAACAACAACAACAACAAAACTGATGCTAAAACCCTTGAAGTGATTACTAACGAAATCTTTGGCAACCTGATGTTAGATAAAAGTGACCAGTTAGTACATAACTTTGACGAATTTGGAATTTTAGATCCTGAAAGTAGTCCGAAGGTAAGACGTGACCAGGTATAAGTGTGTATATCTAGAACAGTATGGTGTCTTATATTTAGTGCCTTCTTGCCTAGTACTCACAACACTCACTGCTTGTAAATATTATAGTGAAGAAACTTTGAAGTCATTTAATATTTTCCCCCAGATTTGGAATCCTTTTATATTCATCATTTTATGTAAATTATTAGAAAATCATTCTGAAGTAAAATTTCTATTCTGACTTCTGCAATAGCAATTTTGTTTGGCAGGAATTTTTCTGGTTAATTGTTATGATTTTAATGGTTGAAGTAATAATAATTATATACCGAAACATCTTAGTACAGTGCTACCTCTACAAAGCCACCCTCTATAGAGCAACTACCTCTTTCAACAACAGTTTCATTTTTTTCCAAAGTAAGGCTTCATAGTAAATTTAGGTGGGCTTCAGCTTTTCTAAAGGTTATATATGTTATTTTTAGATCTATCGTTTCATAATAATTGACAAATCAAAAGGAAGAGGTTGAAAAAGAAATTTGCCGACGATAATATACATAAACAATAAGGAAACCCCTCGATTCTTTCAATCTAGCAGTCCACTCTATATTTAAATTAGTAATAAAAGCAGACGATTCTTTTCCCGATTTTCTATTTTAGAAATGAACGTCACTGACCCATTATAAATAGCTCTCGGAGCACTGTTTTGAAGAAGGCTTAACAGTGATATGATGCATTTTTCCAAGATAAAATTACTATAATAATTAGTTTGAAACAACACAGAATTATTTTTCCAATGTAAAATTAATAGCTGAAGGTTGCTTTATACCTCTCTGTAAGCAATACCTTTCAGCAACTACCAAAATGTTTGCTTTCCATAAGGTGTTGCTTTGTCGAGGTTTTACTGTATAATGAAATCTAAGGGAAAGATAAATCTGTTATGAAAACTGTAAATGATTTCAAAGTTTCCTCCCTTGCATGGTGGCTGGCTTCTATGAGGGAACTTGTTGTGATATTTTTTTCTTTCAATCTCTTTTAATATCTATTCTATATGATGGTGTATTGATACTGAAAAAGTATTGCCTTGATTGTATAATATATGTGAGCATCAAAAAAGGATACATGTATTTTGGGTACATGGGTATATGGTATTATAAAAGTTTTGAAATTGGTGACCTTAGTCTGATATAACGGCATCATTCTAGAAGGTTGGATTTTGGTAGACGGGTGTTGAAAAAGACGAAGATAGTTGGGTTTTATTTTTTGATAAGTCCCAGTCTTGGAATTTTGGAAAATTGGTAACTGCTAAATTGTTGATGATTTGGACTCTTAATCATAATTTATGTTTTCTAATTTTTGTTATCTTTCTCATAATTAGCTTTTTCGCCTGTATGTTAACATTTTCTGCTTCTTTTATAGATGTTTGAATTTCGCTTATTCAGTTGTATAGGTCTTTGCACCAGATTTATTCCATTTCTGTTTCATTCACTCCTTTGAGCACATAATTACTTATTCTACTTCTTCAGGCTTGTTCTAAAAAGATATAGAAAATATGTCTGTTTCGTGCAGGTTTTTTCTTTTCCATCTTTTGATATTTTTTCCCAAAATCCTTTTCCCGCATGACCTATAACCCGTTGGGAAAAAAAGCCTTTTCTAAGGTTTCTTCCAGGAAACCCGTTTTATTTAATAAAACTCAAACATTTTTTACTATTCTTTATGTTTGGGAATTTAAAATTTTATATTAAAATTTCCCCTTTAAAACTTTTAAAAGGGTTTTGCCCTTTTTAAAAAGGGGGTTAACATTTCACAAAATTTTTCCCCAATTTTGGCCCAAAACCCCAAACCCGGGTTTTTTAAATATTGTGGGGTTATAAAATTGCTCTTTTCATTTCCCCCACTGTACAAATTTGACTAGGGTTATTTTCCCCCTTTTTTCTAATTTAAAACTTTTTACGTTTTCAGCGTTGATGGGGTTGATTATTTAAAAAAGGCCCTCGGTTTTTTCAGTTAGAACCCCGTTCACTATTCCTTTGGGAAACCTGTGTTTAAAAGCTTTTTTTTTTCCCCTTTTACTGTTTTTCTTGACACTTATTTTGGATAGGGAACTTTGGGGTGATAAAGAGTGATGACCAAAACCAAAAATAAGGGTTTTTGACCAGCATTTGGGTCCCGACCAGCCTGGGGCAAACAGCCCCAGTCTGATTTTTAAAACCATGCTGTTTTTATTTTTCAGTTTTTCTACTTTTTAATAAAGGGTTTTTAAACAACAGGTGGATCCTTCCCGAACCCGTGTTGGGGTGCAGGCTGGGCTGGGAAACCCTTTCTGGGCGCAAAACCCCTTAGTTGGGGTTTTGTTTATGACGCGGTAAAATTTCTTTTTTTCCCCAAAAATTTTGGGCACACTTTTTTATCTCTTTTCCTTTTTTTAGAACAAATTTTTTTTTTGGGACCTGGGTATTTTTTCCCGCCCTTTTAATTGGCTTTTTTCTTTTGTCAGCTTCTTTAATGATTTTAGTGTTAGTGATTTTTACTTTAAATAGTTTCTAAACATTCTTTTTTTATGTCAAATTATTTTAGTATGGAAATAGTTTTTAGATATTAGTTGAATTTCTTAAAGAATTTTTTTTATCAAATTATTATTGTTTGAAAATAGTTTAAAGATTTTAGATGAATTTTTCGAATTTTACAATTTCAATGAAGATGTAAAATAGTGGACATTTCTTTTATTTTATCAAGATTTCTAATATATTGCTATTATATACTTACTGTTAATAAGTGATGTATATATTATATGAATGAATATTAATATAAATACTGTATAATATACATGTATATCATGAATAAGTTCAATAATTGTACCCTTTATATTCACATGTAATGACTTGTGTTAATCCAAGTTGATAAAAATATGTAATACATATATACTTATATACATATAATTCAGTATTATACATTTTAACCATATCAGGATCATCTTGAAATAAAGTCTTTTACTGTAAAGACACTATGTTGTAATATTTTTTGATCAAATGGAATATTAATTTCGAAAATTTATCTCCAGTCTGGTCATGACAAAAAACATAAGTGGAGTCCCTTTAACAGAAAATTTCTTGAAATGCAACTTTACTTTTAGTGATAATTAATTACATTGATAAGAAGGTTACACTGTTTTAAAGATTAAACAAATTCAACTGTTCATGCAAAAATGAACTAAGAACCCCACTACAATTTGTAAAGTAAATTCTGCATGCTGGGAATGAAAATATTGTAGAAAAACATGAATTTTGCATAATTTTGTATAAATTGTCAAATGTTAGACTCCTGCTTGTAATGAAGTGTTTTATTTTGATGATTTTACAGGATCACAGCAGATGTTCTTAAGAGATGCATTACTCCAGAGGTTGTACTAAAATTAACTTGATATTCACTTTTAGCGATACCGTAGTTATCAAATGACCTTTGACCTTTTTCAGGTGATGATCGCAGAGGTGGAAGCCTCTTCGGATTTATGCGAGCAGGAGATCGGAGAACAGGAAGTGGGGGAAGTTTTGACAAAGGATCCTGGGAAGGGGGTGAAGAATCGGCAGAAAGTAACCTTCGACCTTCAGAAAAATACGGTCAGAAATCAGTCAGATGATAAAGGTAAAGGTAGGATTACTGTCTTACATTAGTTATAATGGGTTTCCCCTTACCACCATGGAATTGTCTATCTTCCAGTCAGGAAAAAAACATTTATTTTACCTTACTATACTCCTGGTTGGTATTACTTATTAAAATAAATTTTTGTACACAGTTGATACTTCATTTACTATAGGTTGAGTTCAAATTTTTCTACAGACCATTTATTTTTCAAAAAGTCAAAGTTGCTGTGGGTGTATTTAATCATTTTAGTATGGTCTAATTTTAAGCAAAAATTTTTTTGACCCTTTTTAAGACAGACTTAAAAAGTATTTATTTAAAAATTTTTAAGTATTCAAATTACAGGTTTTTCAGAAAATTAAACAATTTTTGTTTTGAGATTAATTTAAATTTTATCACAAAATTTTCAAAAATTTAAAAATTTTGGGCCCAATTATAGACCTTTCCCACAAAAAGTATGATTAAACTTTTTTTGTTTTAAAAAAGCCTTGTTTTTTTTTTTTCCGCGATTTTTTTTGATTTGATTAAAACGGCACAAAAATTTAGCCGACGGAAACCCAAAGGGGGTTAAAGAGGATGTAATTGCCAGATTTCCTTTCGGGAAAACATTACTGATACACCGTTTCCCACAGGGAAAAGAAAAATGCTCCGGGGGCTCTCGGTCAAGACAAAATAAGTTCAACTACGCAAAAAAATTCTCGAGACTTTATGGCCGAGATTGACAACTATATTGAAAGTATTAATGAAAACTTTGCTGCTTATACAAGGGAGAGCACTCCTGTGGGAAAGAACCCTAAGAAAGGGGAGGTAAGAAGAGTGCCAGTGAATTCCAGTGATAATAGCTTTAGTGAGGATGGAATTGTGCCTTCAAATGATGAAGCTGACATTTTATTTCAAGTGCCTTCATCTTCAGAAAGTGTTGATTTTAATGATCCGCAATTAACGGAGAAAAGTTTGACTGATATAGGTTTTAGTTATAGCCATAACAAATACTTGTCAAGATCTAGAAATTTTGTAAATCATAGAAAGAAAAATTTAAATTCTCAATATCCACCAAGTGTTCAGATACAAGCTCCACCATTGGCTAGTCCAGAAATACTTTCGCCCAATCAGACACTTCGAAACGATCTACTCAACCAATCAGATCTCTTGGATCATACACTGCTGAACAGTCCTCATTCAAGTCCATATAGTAGTGACTCGTCACTGGACAAGGAGAACCTTAGTAAACTTGTGCCAAATTCTAAAGCCAGTGTTCAAAAAACTTCACGTCATACGTTAATTCATAGCCCAATAACGGGCCTCGACGGTGACCGATATCTTTCTACCGTTGACACAGATGGGAAACTTTCTCGTCATTCGACACCTAAGAATACAAAAACTGGTAGATTATCGAATGCAGGCCGGACACCAAAGACATTTAATTCTACCAGTGATAATAATGAATTTAATCACACAGATGAAGTTACATTTGTATGATACTATATATACATTCTGTATACGATATATATATCATCACAGTGTACCTGTGATTATTTTCAAACTCGTGTACATCATTCATTTTATGATTGTAAAAATGATATATATTTTTATAAGGTGTGAATACACATAAATTTAAAGGTTCTATAGAAAAATGTGAAATATACAAATTTCAATAACTGTCCAGTTATTCAAATACCCGTTACAAGATAGTTACTCAATAATGTTTAAACAAATGTAAAAATTTATGCTTACTCAGCAAAATAAATTGCTTAACAATATTTCATTCCTGTTTCAAGATTTAGAGAATTTTTTTTCATATGCCACTAATTTTCGGGGGAAATTTGGGAAAAGTATTTTATAAAAAAAATGTACAAATTTAAAATTACAATTGTTCTGTGAACATACATTAGGATTTTTTTATTTTTTTTTAACTTTCTTCTAGATTTTTTAAAAGGTTTTATCTTGATATTTTTTCTTTTCTGATTGATGTTTTTATTGTTTTTGTCATCTTTTTATACAATCTATCCCAGATAATGTCTCTTAATATTTAAAAAAGAAATTGTATCATATCTGAAAGTATGAAAATTATAAAATGTGATGAACATTAATTTTATAATGTTCAATATAGGATATATATTGTGCCCGGTCTCATTGTACTATTTAAAAGCAGCTATTGGATGTAAATAATAATGTCGAGGTTGGTTGACCTTTTGATTAAAGTTTTCTTTTATAGTCATTAACTTCAATACTAATTAAATAAGGCTGTAACATTGCAATTGTATGTGTGGATATACCTCGATAAGTTGTGCCTTAGGCTCAAAAGGGCAAAGGTCACTGTGATCTGTATTAGGTTAATGTTTATTTTCTCAGAAACTATCAACTTGTTCACTTAAAATTGGAATGCCTTTTTGAAGGGCAGATTACCATCAGCGTCATTTTTTGTTAGATTATCTCCCTTGAATATTTTTATACTTTTCTCAAAAATTATCACAGAGATTCAGCTCAAACTTAAAATTCTTGTTGTCTATCAAGGGAAAACAATTCTGCCAAGCAGTTGTTTTAAGAATTATAATTATCACCTTTTGTACTATTGATTTTATTTTACTATCAAATACTGAGAAAAGTGGAACGTGCTGCTCCTCAGACAGCTCTTGTTATATGTTTTATCAACGCTGAAATTTGTAATGGAATTTTCTTTTATACAAATTTACAATAAATACCACAGAGTTTCTTGAAATAGTGCCTTTTCTATATTTTATTGTTACAAGTTTTAACAAAGATTTATAACTGACTCCTGAAATATTATCACATATTTTGTTAACAGTAATCTGCACCATAATGCAATATGTTTATTCCTAAGGGACATCAATATACAAAGAAGATTCTTTAAATATTTATACAGAATGTATTTATTCATACATTGATGCCAGTAAATTTGAAAATTATGATAAAATTGTCTTTTGACTGATATAGATATGTATGTATAATATTTCCTTGTCTGTAAATTTCCATAGAAAACCATTATTTCCCCAAAGTTCATTTGATTTATTTACTGTTTTTGTGGTACAGAAATTGGACACTGGTAAAAAGTGAGCAACATTTTGTTGAAGGTTTAAGTAATGGAGCTTTTTATTGGATTTTAATTGGTTATAGAGAAAGCTATCCAGATAGGTCCTACAACTCAAACAAGAGAATAAGGGCATACAAAGTATTTAAAAGTAAATGCATATTGTTATGAAAATAAATTTTATACTTTTCCTTCTTTCCAAACTTAAATTTTACATACCGGTACACACCTGGGTTTAAGTGTAAGCTGTCATTATAAATAGCATATGTCACTTTTATCTTGAAGATGTAAAGCTTTATCAGGTGAGCAATGCATGCCATGGTAGGTTCTCTTGTATTATTCTGACTGTAATATGATACTTATGATACTAATATTACAGGTACAAATCCTTTTAAGCTAAAACCTTTTTTGTTTTACTATCATGGGGATAAAACGTTCAATCAGATAGAATGGTAACTTGATACGAAATCTGAATACTTGTTGGTAATTTCAATTAACATAATGGGATACATTCAATTTACAATTATGATTTTTTACAGTCAATATTAAGAACAAATATGTGGTTAACTTTTAACATGCATGCCATAATATCCCGGACGTCCGGGACTGTCCCGGAAATCAGGTGTCTGTCCCAGAGATGATTTTTTTCCTGATAAAAATAAAAAATAATTGCGTTTGAAGTGTGAAATAATGTATTTTAATGTGATCTCATTGTCAAGTTATTATTTAATATATGGAAAAAAAATGAAGTTATAACAAAGAAAGAAAAAGTGGAATAAAGATTTGTCAATAATTGTTTGTTGAACTTTTTATTGAAACTTTTACGTAGTTGGTTGTATAGGGGTTTGTTTTAAATACTCAAAATATTTTAATATGTATAGCTTGTTTTATAGACCCCACTTTAAAATTGGTAAGAAATTGTCATATAAATAAACTGTAAAAATTGTGTTTATCTTAAAAATTTTAGAACAGAGGTTGTGAGTGAAATAGTATTAAGATTTTTATCAGTTTTATTTCATAGATTTATTACATACAAAAATGATTGTTTAAAGAAAATAATGGCTTTGTTCCATATAAACAATAGTAAAAATACTAAAGTTTGCCCACATTCAACATAACTTTCCTACAAAAAGCTTTCACACTGGCTCGATTTGGATTTATCACAAAAAACAATCTGTGAATGAGATACAAAAAGTAATCACTTAAATATTGTTTGTATCATATTTAAATCAAGGCTTCTTTTACATCGCCACCTACTCAGTGAATACACAATGCTTTTATTCAAGAAGTAGGATATTGGAAAAGGTTACAATCATTTTTGTCCAAAGTAAAATATTGTGAGGGTTTTTATTTTATTTCAGTTTTATCTTTTCTTTGACAGTTTTTTTTTTTTCTGGATTCAAATGATTATTTCAATGCTCCTGCACTTTTGATTGTTTTCTGACATTTAAATGACCATACTGTTTTTTTTAAAAACATATTTACTGTATAATGACTTACCGAAGATATAATAAAGAGTGAGTAGTTCTGCAATTAATGTTTTGATTTACTGTAGGTGGTCCTAAATATATATTTCTTGTTTACAATGAATAATTCTAAGTATATATACTGTACAGTGAGTGTCTCTAGACATTTTTACTCTACAATGAGTGTTTCTAGGAATATTTACTCTCAATGTGTGTTAATAGGTATACTGACTGTACAATGAGTGTTTTACTGTAAAACGAGTGTTTCTAGGCATATTTACTGTACAACGAGTGTTTTTAGGCATACTTATTGTACAGTGAGTGTTTCTAGGCATATTTACTCTACAATTTATGGTAATAGGCATACTGACTGTATAATGAGTGTTTCTAGTACAGTGAGTGTTTCTATGCATACTTATAGTACAGCGAGTGTTTCTAGGCATACATAGCAAATAGTGTGTGTCTAGGCATACTTGCATTACAGTGAGTGTTTTCTAGGCATATTTACTGTACAGTGAGTGTTTATTTACTG